TGAGGTGATGACTCATTTTGTGGGTGTAAGGACAAATTAATTTGTTGTTGTGTTAATTGTGGTGAATGTTCATTGGGTGGTGTCAATATATTTTGAGGTGGTATATTATTTATTTGATCGAGCTGACATTGAGACTGTGGTGGGATTGACTGGTTAGGTGGTAATTGATGCAAATTCTTTTTTGAAGGTCTTCCTTTTTGCCCAGGAATATTTTTAACAGTTATTATTCCTGCTGGGTAAGTACATATGATATCTGCACTTGATGACATAGATGGCGTAATTACTGTCATATCACCATATGTCGATAAATTGTCGTTAAAGACAGATGATGGATCAATTTTAGCACATCTGCAGATATCTTCAAATGCCTTGTGAAGAACAGTGTGAACTTTATCTGTATATTCTTTATTTGAACACGCCAAAGAGGCAAGCTGAGCCGCCAGGACTATTGTATCAATGACGCGTTGTTCAGTGTCTCTTATTTTCAATTTTTTCCTAATTATAATTTAATTGTTTAATGATATGAAGTTTTGTAGAATGCATGTCTATATAAACTATTTAGTGTATATGAAAATACCTTTCTTCAGCCAGACGATTATAAAACCTCCTTTCATCCCATAATAAATTCGGAAATTCCATTTGCATCGTATTTCTTATGTCTCCAGTTGATAGTCCAGAATTTGCAAGATCAGCAATTCGTTGCAGAACATTTGGAGGCCATGGTTCGGGAATATGTTCCGGGGGGATCAGGTCATGATTATGTTCCGAATGCTGCGGGTTTACCGACTTTCGAAATTCCCATTGATTACCTTGTTCATTTCTAAATAGGACTACTCTCCATTTACAATCACAACGAAGGGATGCTCGTTTTCTTTTTGTCTCTCTACCAATTTTCACACTTTCAGAAATACCTTCACGAGAACAGTACACGTATACATTCTAGGAAAAAAAAAAAGAGAGAGAGAAAAAAAAAAAGGTAGATTAAAATTTTCAATTCGTGTAACGTAAAAGGGTGATCAAGAAATTAAACTTATGTGGTCTGTGCGATGAACATATCAAAGTAATAAATAAAATAAATAAAACAAGACACAATAAAAGTCCATTGCTAAAAGTAATCATCGTCATTACAATGTTTTTAAATAGTTCATTTTAAGTTTTTTTTTTTTTTTTATTCATCATAGCATATGAAAGGGTATGTTTAGTATGTACATATAAATTTATCATATACTGCAGACTAACGTGAGGATTAATTCTATTAATGAACATCGACGAAATGAACCAACCTTATTAGAACTAGTTTCCTGTTTTACTGTAAATCCATACTCTCGTGCCAACTGCCTACAAAATGAGGCGGCTTCTTTAGCAGAAGGAAATTTCATAGGAGTAAGTTGAGCATAAAAGTTGTCCATCTGGATTGTAGAGAATAAATCGATATGCGTACGAAAAGTTAGGTTATGCAATAGGGCTAAAATCGTACCGTAAAGGTTATTGACTACAAAAGAAATGAGTTACCACGTTAAAAGTGGGAACTTGGTTATTTGCTCCAAAAAAGCGAAGTGAACATAAACTAGCAATCGCGTCGTGGTCCGTAGACATTAGAAATTATCAAAGTTATCACCAGGAATAATAAAGTAAAAGAAATAAATAAGGCAAAGTGAGAAAAAAGGAAAGAAAAGGAAAAAATTAAGGAAAGAATAGGAAAAAAGACAATTACTCCAAATTTAATATACAAAAAAATTTTATGAGAAAGAAATTTATATGAATTCTGCTTGAGGCATTTTTATGGTGACTACATTTTTTTTTTTTTTTCTTATCCATGTTTGGTGGGAGTTTAGCGGGGCGTAAAAAACCCCTCATATAATAATCGGGGTTCGGAAGTTCGTAATATGTATGGCAGGGTCTTTTTGTCTCGAACAAGTTAGTCCCTCAGTTTGTCTATTATTAAATAACATGATATATGCGATATACGATACGTCAAGTTCAAGATAAATTGGCATTTGACACACTATTTATTAATATAAAAGTGCGGTCACCAGAATGTTGCATAACATTATCCAATAGTCATCTGTTACAAACAATTAAAAGGTCAAATCGAAAGTATGTTCACCGAAAGTGGTCAAGTTCAATTTCCTATAATAGTTGGGTGCCAGTCATGATCAAGTACCAGGTCTTTTTATTCGAAACCAAAAGACGGAGAATGTTTTATTTAATTTTGATTACATAGCATTTATTCATTAACACGCTTCCGGAAAAAATCGAAGTTCGGGAACAATAATCTAAAAACCTAGTGCCATAATCAATAAGGAGCAGTTCAATGCCGATTTATTTGGCAACGGTATGGTATTTACCGAATTATTTGAATTATTATAATTAACATTGTTCGTTACACTTTTGTACGCGTAAAAAAAAAAAAAGCATATCATGAGATTCTTAGCAAAAATTTGAATAATACATGTTTATCTCTTTATGTAATATATGAAAACTTTGTAAACATCACGTCTTTTTAAACATGAATAATCAATATAATAAATCCAACCTTTTATGTGAAGGGTGAGTTGATCGAAAGTTCATAATAATCATAATGTCCAAATTTGAGTTAATTGCTAACTAACCAAAGTTGTACTAACTTTTTGGATCTATACAAAGAAAACAATCGTGTAGTTGCTTGACGTCAATACCTATCCTAATATGGTTTACGATTGGGAGGTCACTTTTTTATAAAAATGCGTTTTTATAGAATGCATTTACACAAAAAATCTGCACACTTTTTACCCCTGCAGGAATAGAAAAAATTGATGGCAAATATTATTATCAAATTAGATAATCATAAAATTGATAACTTCAGTTTTAGGTTTTGAATAACTATTTTTAAGAACTATATGAAAACTTATGATATATAATTTCAAATTGACTAGAGTAATAGCAAGAAGGAGAATTCCAGTATTTATCCAGGTATAGATCAATGCATATTTACTGTTTATTTATTTTTTCTAACAAAAAAAAAAACATTAATGTATTTATGTTTTTCCGCGAATTAA